TTGTGAAAAGAGCAGCAAAAAACATGGATGTACAAGTGTCTCTGCAATAGGATGAGTTCTTTGGGTATATGCCATGGAGAGGTATAACTGGGTCAAATGGTAGGTTTGTTTTGTAGTTTTTTAAGTGTTCTCCACACTGCTTTCCATAGGAGTTGAACAAGTTTGCAATCCCACCAGCAGTGGATGAGCATTCTCCTTTCCCCATATCCTTGCCAACATTTGGTATCATTTGTTCTCTTGATCTTAGTCAGTCTGACCGGGGTAAGATGAAATCTTAAAGTGGTTTTAATTTGCATTTCCTTAATTGCTAATAATGTTGAATACCTGTTAAGCTGCTTCTAGGCCATATTTATTTCTTCTTTTGAGAACTCTCTGTTCAGCTCCTTAGCCCATCTTTTAATTAGGCTACTTCCTTTCTTTATTGTTTGTTTTTAAAGTTCATTTTATGTACTGGATGTTAAACCTCTGTCAGATCTGTTGCTGGTGAAGATTTTCTCCCGTTCTGGGGGTTTTCTCTTCACTTCCTTGTTGTTTCTTTTGATGTACAGAAACTTTTTAGTTTAATGAGGTCCCATTTTGTTTTTTCTTGACCTTGTTTCCTGAGCAATTGATGTCCAGTTTAGAAAATCCTTTCCTACACTTACATCTTGTAGGTTATTGCCAATGTTTTCTTCTAACAGTGTCAGAGTTTCAGGCTTCACATTGAGGTCTTTGATCCATTTGGAGTTGACTTTTGTGGAAGGTGAAAAGGGTTTAGTTTCATTCTTCTACAGGTGGAGATTTAGTTTTTCCAGCACTATTTCCTGAACATGCTGTCTTTCCTCCAGTGAATGTTCTTGGCCCCTTTGTCAAATATCAGATGGCTAAAATTGCATGAACTCATATTTGGGTCTTCCATTTTGTTCCATTGATCTATTGGTCTATTTTTGTGCCAGTACCATGTTGTTTTTATGACTATAGCTCTGTAATACAGTTTAAAATCTGGTATAGTAATCCCCCACTAGCATTACTCTTAGTGCTCAGGGTTGCTTTGGCTATTCAAGGTCTCTTGTGTTCCCATATGAATCGTAGGATAGTTTTTCCCATTTCTGTAAAGAATGTCATGGGGATTTTGGTTGACATTGCATTGAATCTGTAAGTGACTATTGGTAGGACAGTCATTTTCACAATACTAATTCTTCCAATCCATGAGCATGGGTGGTCCTTCCATCTTCTGATGTCTTCCTCAATCTCTTTCTTTAAAGGTTTAAGATTTCCATTGTAGTTGTCTATAATGTCTTTGGTCAGGTTTATTTGAGATATTTTATTTTATTGCAGCTATTGTGAAAGGAAGTGTTTCCATTACTCTTTCTCTGATTGCTTGTTATTGGTACATAGAAAGACTACAGACTTTTGTAGATTAATTTTGTAACCTGCCACTATACTGAAAGTGTCAATCATTTCTAGGAGTTTTCTGGTGGAATTCTTGGTGTCTCTTGGATATAATATCATATCATCTGCCAAAAGGGATACTTTGATCTCTACTTTTCCAACTATTACTCCTTTAATTTCTTTCTCTTATCTTATTGCTTTTGCAAGAGTTTCAAGCACTATGTTAAAGAGAAGTGGAGATATTAGACAGCCTTGTCTGGTTCCTGATTTCAATGTGGTAATGCTTCCAGTTTTTCTACATTTAGAATGATGCTGTCTGTGGGTTTGTTATATATGGCTTTAATTATGTTGCAGTATGTTCCCTCCAGTCCAATTCCCTCTAGGACTTTGAATGTAAATGCATGTTGAATTTTGTCAAAGGGCTTTTCTTTATCTATGGAGATGACCGTGTGGTTCTTATCTTTGAGTCCATTTAAATGATTTATGACGTTTATTGACACGTATATTGAACCATCCCTGCATCCCTGGAATAAAGCCAACATGATTATGGTAAATACTCTTTTTGATGTGTGTCTGTATGTGGTTTGTAAGTATTTTGTTGAGAATTTTTGCATCTGTGTTGCTTTTCTTTATCTATGGAGATGACCGTGTGGTTCTTATCTTTGAGTCCATTTAAATGATTTATGACGTTTATTGACACGTATATTGAACCATCCCTGCATCCCTGGAATAAAGCCAACATGATTATGGTAAATACTCTTTTTGATGTGTGTCTGTATGTGGTTTGTAAGTATTTTGTTGAGAATTTTTGCATCTGTGTTCATTAAGGATATGGATGTATAGTTTTCTTTTTTGGTTGTATCTTTACCTGGCTTAGGTATTAGAGTGATGCTGGCTTCATACAAGGAATTTGGATGTTCTTTCTCCATTTCTATCTTTTTTGAATAAATTAAGTAGTATTGGATGTAGATCTTCTTTAAATGTCTGATAGAATTCTGCTGTAAATCCATTGGTCTTGACCTATTTTTAGTCAGAAGGTTTTGTATTACTGTTTCAATTTCCTTATGTGTTATGGGTCTGTTTAAACTGTTGATCTCTTCTTGGTTTAGTTTTGGTGATTCCCATGCTTTCAGATACCATTCTATTTCTTTTAGGTTTTCAAATTTAGTAGCCCATAGATTTTTAAAGTATTCTCTTATAATGTTCTGAATCTTTGGTGTCTGTTGTGATGTTTCCCCTTTCATCTCTAGTTTTGTTGATTTGGAGGTGCTCTTTCTTTCTTTTGGTTTGCTGGCTAGGGTCTGTCAATCCTGTTTATCTTTTCAAAGAACCAGCTTTTGGATTCATTGATTCTTTGTATTGTTTTCTTTGTTTCTATTTTATTAATTTCTGCTCTGATTTTTGTTATTTCTTCTTGTCTACTGGGTTTAGGTTTCATTTGTTGTTGCTTTTCAAGTATCTTGAGCATCAATGTTAAGTCATTTATTTGTGTTCTTTCTTATTTTTTAATGAAGGCACTTAGAGCTGTAACCTTCCCTCTATGGACTTCTTTCAGTGTGTTCCAGAGGTTTTGTTGGGTTGTATTGTCCTTTCTATTAGTTCCAGGAATATTTTTATTTCTTTCTTAATTTCTCCTTTGACCCATTCATCATTCAGGAGTGTGTTGTTTAATCTCCTTTTGTTCATGTATTTAGTAGGGTTTCTTCTGGTGTTGATTTTAAGCTTTATTGCATTGTGGTCTGATGGAAGGCATGGAATTATTTCAATCTTTTTCTATTTATTGAGGCTTCTTTAGTGCACCAGTATATGGTTTATTTTGGAGAAAGTTCCATGGGGCACTGACTAGAAAGTATATTCTTTAATGTTTGGGTGGAATATTCGATAGATGTCTGTTAGGCCTATTTTATGTATGGTATTATTTAATTTTTTTTAAAACATGCATGTAGGCAGCCAAAGTGAGGCAAAGGAAGTATGCATCCCTTGCTCTCCAAAAACCTTAGGGAGGCCAGATTTTCTTCCAAGTTGCTATGTTCCTAAGAAGGGCATTAGTTAGCCCCTTGGAGAAGGAATCAGCTTGGACTGTATGGTATTGTTTAATTCAGATGTCCCTCTGTTAACTCTCTGTCCTGTTGACCTATCTAATGAAAACAATGGGATATTGAAGTCCCTAACTATTAATGAGTTGGGATTAATCTGAGTCTTAAAGCCCTGTAGTACTGTTTTATTTTTTATGAAGTTGGGTGCACCAGAGTTTGGCAAATATATGTTCATGATTGTAAATTGTTCCTTGGATCAGAATGAAGTGGCCCTCCTTATCTCTTCTGATTAGTTTTAGTTTTAAGTCTATTTTGTCAGATATTAGAATTGCAGCACCTGCTTTTTTCTTAGTACCATTCAGTATATTTTTTCCCATCCTTTCACTGTAAGGTGGTACCTGTCCTTGAAAGTGAGACGAGTTTCTTGCAGGCAACAAAAAGATGGGTTTTGTTTCTTAATTCATTCAACTAGTCTGTATCTTTTGACTGAGGAGTTCAGTCTATTGATATTTAAAGTTATTAATGAAAGATGTGTATTCCTGTCATTTTTATTTCTGTTCACATTCTTGGTGTAGCTGTGCATTTCCACAGTTGTAACTTCATTAACTTTCTGTAACCCCTTGGGTATAGTCATTCCTTTCTTCAGCTCTTTGTATTGCTTCAAGAACTCTCTGAAGGGCTGGTTTTGTGGACATGAATTCTTTCAGCCTATTTATATCATGGAAGATTTTTCATTCCCCTTTGACTGTAATAGACATTTTGCCTGGGTAAAGTAATCTAGGTTGGCATCTGTGGGTATTTAAAACTGGGAATACTTTGGTCCGTGCTCTTCTTGTTTTCATAGTTTGCACTGAAAAGTCAGCTCTAATTTTGATGGGTTTTCCTTTAAATGTGACATTGTTTTTCTTTTGCAGCTTTCAGTATTGTCTCTTTATTCTGTATGTTTAGTGTTTTAACTATGATGTACCACGAAGAGTTTCTTTTCTGGTCTTCTCTATTTGGTGTTCTATATGTTTCTTGTATTTGTATGGGCATGTCTTTGTTTAATTTTGGGAAATTTTCTTCTATAATCCTGTTGAAGATCTGGCCCACACCATTATCCTAAGATTCTTCTCCTTCCTGTATGCCTATTATTCACAAGTTTGGTCTTTTTATGGTGTCACACAATTCCTGCATATTCCATTTGTGTTTTCTTAAATTTTTCGTAATCTTTGCTTGAGTGGCCTAATTCGTCCACTTTATCTTCCAGTTTTGATATTCTGTTTTCCATTTCACTCATCTTATTGGTGAGGCTTTCTCCTGTCATTTCTAACTGGCTTACTGAGTGTTTTGCTTCTTTCTTCATTTCAGCCTGAGTATTCGTCAATATTTCTAACTCTTTTCTGAATCCATTCAAATGTTTATCCCTATCTTCTTTCAGTTCTTTGATTTCTTTGCATGTTCTTTAAATTCACTGAATTCTTTCATTGTGTTTATAATTGTTCTTTTGAATTCCATGTCCTGTGTTATCTCTAGAGGGTTTTCATTGTACTCCTCTACAGGCCTTTTGGTTCTTGGTGGAGATATATTATTTGGGTTTTTCATGTTATTATTTTTTCACTGTGACTTTGACATGTGGATTTCTTTTGTAGTTTCTGATTCTTATGTGAGACTCAAGCCTTCCTTTGTTGAGTCTAGGTCTGCTTCTTTTTATAAAGTTTATGTTCCTTTGTGGTTTACTTGTTGGGCATGAAAAGCTGGTTGGTCTAGGCTTAAGTTTCACTCTTTTGATTTTATATTGGAGTGGCTAACTTGCTTTCATCTTGCTGCTCAGGAGTTCCCCCAGAGGCCCAAGTTGGATGAGGATCAGATGTGCTTAGGCTTTCTCCTAAGGTCTGGATCCCTCCAGGAAAGATGCTAGCCTCAGGAATCTGGGGGTTGGGCTGGCCTGGGAGCTGGGCCCAGGAAAGATGCTGGCCCCAGGAAGCTGCGGGGCTGGGCTTTCCAGAGATGCAAAGATAGGTGGGGACAGGAAGAGGCCCAGAGGGCTCCTGGGGACTAGAGGAAGAAGTGGGTTTTTCTGGATGCAAAGGATCAGGAAGAAGTGGGGAGTCTGGGCCAGAGGTCAGTCCAGAGGTCCCAGGTGCCAAGTCAAGAAATGGGCCAGTGCCCATGCTAGGAGGAGAGATGTTGTGGGGGAGCTTGGAGGGAGAATGAGGCTGGGGGAGTCTTTAAGTAATCTTTTGAAATTACTATTTTTATTTTATTTTATGTGTATGAGTGTATTGCCTGCATGTGTGTAAGTGCACCCATGTCATGCAAAGTGTGCAGAGGCCAGAAGAGGGAATCTGATCCCCTGGAACTGGAGTTATGGATGGTTGTTAGCCACCATGTTGGTGCTGGGAATCAAACCTGGGTCCTCTGCAAGAGCAGCCAGTTCTCTTAAAAGCTGAGCCATCTCTCCAGCCCTGGATTTAATGAATTTAAAATCCAGCCAACACCAGAGAGTCACATGCCACACTCAGATGGGACATGTTCTCCCAGAGCAATAGTCCAACTATGGGCAGGAACTGGACATAGCTTCCCCCACCCCCTTTTTTCTTTTGCTTCCATCATGGGTTTCTTTTCCAGCAACAGCTTGTATCTAGGAATGATGAGATCCAAAGGTCATTGCTTGGCATGCACAATTACATTTAGCGGCAAGAAACAGGTTTTGCTTCCTTGATTTGAGACCATGAAATTCTTTTTTTTCCTACTATTTGGGGCCTACATACTTGAGTGTAATTTCTCCTAAACTGGTGGTGGGCACATGACTCTCGTTGCTACAACCACATAGCATAAACCAAATGATGACACCCAGAAACTTATCAGTACTACTGAGCCCATAGGAGATCATGATACCCTGGCAATTCCTTTCACCACAGACAGATAAACATATATCCCAATCTTCTTGCAATTTTTTTCTTTTTCAGTCTTCATTTTCTTGAATTCTTTATGGAATCATTGAAATAGAAAATCAAGGAACTCTGACATAGTCACTACTACTATGTCATAAGGTAAATGCACTTATATGTCAGACTAAGGAGGTAATACCACACCTTCATGATGAGATATTGTATTTTGACATTTTTACATGGTTTTACATGGTTTAATCACTGATTTCTAATAAGTATTTTGGATTTTGAAGTTATTTTGCATGACAGTTATACCTGTCTTTAAAGGGGACTATTTTGGGTTTTTGATACTCTTTTGAGTATGATATTTATACTGATTTCTTTAATAAATTTTTCAATTTTTATTTATTTATTTTTTATGTGTATGAGTATTATGCCTGCATGTGTGTAAATGCACCCATGTCATGCAGTGCCCATGGAGGACAGAAGAGGACATTGACCCCCTGGAACTGGAGTTACAGAGAGTTGTTAGCTGCCACGTGGGTGCTGGAATTTGAACCCAGATCTTCTGCAAGAGTAACCAGTGCTCTTAAATTCTGAGCCATCTCTCCAGCCCCAATTTGTACTGATTTCTAAAGGGGATTATTTTAAATTTTTGCATTGTTTTGCATAATATGTTATTATGGTTTAAACTATAATATATTATGGTTTTTAAAGGGGACTTAAGAGTTTTTTTTTAAAATCCATATGCCTCCAATACTAATCAGATACCAAGGGAACTCACACATTGTAATGGCTAGACCTGGGAAGCTCATGTGAATTTTCAGCACCCCAGTGCTAAATCTTGCAAAAGACAAATCGGTACCATCAGATAGCTCCAATAGCTGGAAGCAAAAGCCGTAGCTTCCTTGAGTGGAAGGCTAAAAATATGTGTTCTACTGAGTCTTAATTCCTGCTCTTTCTATACTGTGATTCCAAGTCTATTTTTCTCTGACATAGAATATTTTTCCCCTTTTTGAGATTTGGTTGCTCCCTGTTTGCTTCTATCCATTCCCTGTCATGCCCTGAGCAGCTCTGCTTTTCACTGTCTAGTTATAATGCCATGGACAGACTAAAGGAAAAGAACATTCTGATATCACCTCTTTACAAAATTATTTAGACATTATTGTTTAATATGCTCATTAGTCCTCTAGATTATAGGTACCCAATCCAAGATTATGTATGATGAATTATAATATGGGTTTTCTAATCCAGACAGTAAAAAAGCCCTTTTTAAAAGGAGACTTTATCTTGAGAGCTATCAAGTTTGCTTCTTATTTAGTTTGAAGAAACAAATGCCTTTTTGTGTATACATTGTATTATATTGTCATGTGCTGTTTGAACTCACTGAGAAGCTGACTCTGAAGACGGGGTTTGCCCTCCCACTTCAGATTCGAGCATGTGTATCTCAAAGTATCTTCCAAATCCCTTTCCTGAGTCAGGCTGTATCTTGACTGTATAACAGGGAAGAAGACAACAGAACAGCCCAAGAGTAAAGGTATTGTGTCCTTGAGAACAACTAAGAGATTAACCATTTCCAACAGAGGTTATTATTATTTATCTCATGATACAAAGATGTGCATAGTAAAAAAAAAAAGCTAGAAAGATACTCAATTTCATCATGGCAATGAGAAAAATAATGAACACAAACTAATGGAAATGTATAGTAAGTACCAAGATTTATTTATCAACTTAACGAATGAACCAACAGGATATATCAAAGAAATAAATTAAAGACTGCTTACAGGACAGAGATGACCTGTCTCCTCCAAATCCTCAGTCAGTAGTAAGCCTCACAGTTTTAAAAGAGTTTCCTTAATTGATTTCTACTGAATGTTCTAAACATCAATTTGATCATGTTTTATGATGTAGTTTCTACTTTGACCTGCTACTTATACTCATTCAAAACTCAAAGCACGATTTGGGTAGAATACTTTCTTAACTGTACATAAAAGACTTTTGACTGTCTTATGTTGTATATAAGGTTTATCTGGGAACTTACAAAGTCCCAACCTGTACACATGTAACATTAATTTATTGCATTATCCTTTTGTGTGGTATTTTTTGAGACAGGGTCTCTGTGTAGCCCCCATCTGGCCTGGAACTCACTATGGAGACCAAACTGGCCTTAA